GAACAGGGTGTAGGAGGTTTGGGTGAAGGCGGGGGCGTTGTCATTGATGTCAGAAACCAGCACTGTTATGTTGAGCTGTGTTTTCAGCCTGGGTGTTCCCAAGTCAGTGACGGTGATGGTGACATTGTACTCAGCTCTGGTCTCTCTGTCCAGGGCACCTTCCGTTACCAGAGTGTAAAAATTTTCCACTGACGGTTTTAGAATAAAAGGGAGATTGTTATCTATAGAACAAATAACCTGTTGGTTATGTCCAGAATCTGCATCTGAAACACTGAAAACTGCCACTATGATCTCCTGCAAGTTTTCTGGGATGGGGCTGAAGAGTGATGAGATGGTCAATTCAGGGGCGTTGTCATTCACATCCAGGACCTTGAGGACCAAAGAGCATTTTCCTGTTAGGCCTCCACCATCTGTGGCCTCAATATCCAAATGATAAGACTGAAATTCCTCAAAATCCAAAGCTTTCCTCAGTCGAATTTCTCCTGTGATTGTGTTAATTTCGAAAGGTTGGTTAACATCATCGACTTGAAATAGAGCATAGGATACCTCCCCAAAGGATCCTGCATCTAAATCTCTGGCTGAGACCGTAGTAATCAGAGAGCCAAAGGGGCTGTTCTCGGGGACTTGCGCCTCATAGAACTCCTGAGTAAACTCAGGGGCGTTGTCATTGATGTCCAAAACCTGGATCTGAATCTCTGACGTTCCTGACCTGGGCGGAGACCCGCCGTCCAGCGCGGTGAGTGTCAGCCTGAGTTGAGGCTGCTCCTCTCGGTCCAACGCCTTGTCCAGCACCAGCTCCGGGAACTTCCTGCCGTCGCTGCGATTGCGGGTGAGAACGTGGAAGTAAGGATTGGAGCTGATTGTGTAACTCTGAAGACTGTTGCTGCCAACATCTAAATCATTTGCCATTTTTAAAAGAAATATTTTTCCTGGCGTAGTAACTTCTGATATTTTCAATATCATTTCTCTGGAAGGAAACTCTGGGGCATGGTCATTTATATCTCTGACTCGCAAGGCAGCCTGATAAAACTGCAAGGGGTTTTCCAGTAACACTTGGAAAGGAAGCACACACGGCTCAATGGAGCCGCACAGCTCCTCCCTGTCAAGTTTTTCATTTAGCAGTAAATTATGGGTCTGTGGGTCAAGCAGCAAATGCTGTCTGCTCCCCTTGAAAACAACCCGGGCGCCCCGTGCTGCCAGCTCTCCCACCCCAAGTCCCAGGTCCTTTGCCAAGTTGGCCACAAACGTTCCACTCTCTGCTTCCTCTAGTACTGAATACTGAATGGATTCTGACCCCACCTTCCGCAAGAACATCAATAAAATGAAGATCGCCACTTGCCTTTTGTTGTGCTGTACTTTTGTTCGTACCATCTTCATTGTTAGGTCGGATTCCATAGGAAAAATCCTCCTCAGCTCCCAGTCACCGCATCCAACGTCGACCCTCCGAACTGTCTTGGCTATAGATTTTTAAATTTGCTCTTATTCTTCTCTGGCGACAACTGCCTTTCTAAACACGCCTATCTTAGTTTTAGCTGTAAATGTGTTCTGTATTTTTACTTGGCTTCTGGGTAAAATGGAGTCCACTGAATCTGCAGAGGACTTTTCCACTCCACTGTCTTAGCCTACACCGCCACCACGCGTTCAAATTAATAACTTCATGAGGTGTTTTCACATCAATACCCTTTCTGAAATCTGAGCATTGTAAAGACTTTTGGGTCAAGTCAGCGTTTCTCAAACTCAGTGTGTGAACCGCGTACATAAAGAATTGCTTGGATGTATTGGTTTTGTGCCTGTGCACATTTTTTAAAGCCAATCCCTGGGCTCCCCTGCAGATCTTGAATCAAATTCTGAACGACTTTTCCTTTAAATTGTTCTCATACATAGCAACATTTAAGAATCACTATTTCAAATAACGTACAAAAAACTTCCTACAATTAACTTTGATTCTTTGACAGTCCAGTTTATCTCTAAAGAGCAGTGTTATTTGAAAGTCCAAAAGGTACAATATTTAATTTTCCCAACAAATTATACAAAATGTAAAAGTTCGTTAGCAACATTAATAGTAAAATAGACAGTAAGTTCTCTAAATTATATTACTTATAAGTGGCATGAATAACAAAGTTACTTTGTTAAGTATGGCTATGCCTGCATAGTAAAAAAGAACAATGAGGCTATTAGGAAGAAAATTAATACCAAGAAGTACTTATAAAAGAAGTATCTAAGCAAATTAGATTATTTGAAAGTGGAACCAAGAGCAATCAAATACTTGTCATAAGCATTCTAGGACTCTACTTCATTTTTGTATGGATAGAGTTGAGCATGGTTTTAAGAGATTTGTGCATTTTATTCTCTTTTGTCAAATCCATTTCTCACATTAATTAATTAATCAAGGTCCACATATATTACCCTACTGTACTGTTGTAAGAAAATGATACAATT